TTATCACCCATGTCAGGTCCTGGAGCGGATTCAAAGAACCGGGACTGCAAAGCAGCATCAAGCCCTGGTGTGGCGTAGCGTCTCGGCTCTGGACACGGCTGTAGCATTGCTTGACTGAGGCCTGAACCTGACCATGGCTTTTCTGATGCCGCTATTAGCGTTCTTCACACTTACTGCTGCCTGGCTCCTTAGCCCACACTATTGTTGTTAAGTGCCGTTGAGTCCTGTATAGAATTTTGAGGAGCAGCTGGCGGGTTTGAACTGCCAACCTTGTGGTTACAGTCCAGTGCTACAGCGCCACACCAGGACTCCCTTAGCCAGGATTGTTTTGTTGTTGTTAGCGCTGTTGAGTTGGTTCTGGCATAGGGTGGTTTTTGAATTGCCCATATTGTGGTTAGCTGTCCAGTGCTTATCCTACAGCGCCATACCAGGACTCCGTAGCCAGGATGGGAGTATCAAATTCACGCTTCTGCCCCACTTGTAAGGGAAGCTTAAAAGCAAGTGCCTGGCATTTTCAACTTCTGTGATAGGAGTGCTGGTGTGGCACTCTACGATAAGCATTGAACTGCTATCCACAAGATTGGCGGATCAAACCCACCAGATACTTCTCAGAAACCCTATGTGGAGGAACTGACTCAGCAGAACTTAACAACAATATGATAGGAGGCAATGTCTACTTCTATCAGGTTGTATCGGGGAATTCCCCAGACATAGAGAAATGGTACTGATTCTGACAGACCACAAAAATGGCAAAGGTCTATTCCAGCCCTCGCCAGCACGCTCTTCCCTCTGCTCAAGACAAAGCCACAAGTGATTCCTGGATTCTCTCCTTCCCCTTAGAATCAACTATTTGCTGATGTTGTAGTAAGTCCTGACTCTTGAGTCTGTCTTTAATTCATGTCTAGTCAATAACTTAATACAACCATGATCTATTTCCTCTGGATGACTATAGTAACCTTCACTCTTCCTTCCAGTCCCCAGCCCACAAAGCAGAAAGAGTGAGTTTCTTTGTAACCCAAAGCACTGTCATCAAGTTGATTTCTGACTCATAGTGACCCTACATAAGACAGAGTGGAACTGCTCCTTAAGGCTTCCGAGACTAAATGTTTATTAGAGCAGACGGGCTCACCCTTGGAGTGGATGGTAGGTTGACAGCCCAGTGCTTAGCTCACAGAACCACCAGGGCTGCTGCTTTGTAAAACCTCCTCACTTTTTAAAGCCTTTGATGGCTTCTTTTTCTTTTTTTTTTGACTTCTTAAGGAGCTCTGGTAGCGTAGTGGTTACGAATCGGGCTGCCAACCTTAAGGCCAGCAGTTCTAAACTACCAGCCGCTCCGCGGGAGAAAGATGAGGCTTTTTGCTCCCGTAAAGATTTACAGCCTCGGAAACCCTGTACAGGGTCGCTATGGGTCGGAACCGACTTGACAACAACAACATGGTGAATTGAGTGAAGGTTTTGCAGAGCAGATCATCAGTTTTACATTCACCGAATCACACACTTTGCTTCATTCATTACATGGTTGCAATCCCCTCCATGCACCAAGAGTAAACAGCATTTACCTCTATTCACTTTAACCACCGCATTCCTCCCTGTCCCCCGCCACCCCCATCTGTCCTATGGCAACCTCCCTCTGGTTCTATATTGCCTGCCCCATCACCCATGTCAACACCAGTGTATGTGTCATTTTCTCCTTCCCCCAAAATCTTCAAAAAAATTTTTTTTAAATTATGAAAACCCTCCTTTATCTCTTTTTGCCCCTCGTGATGTAAAAACAAAACAGAAAAAACCACGCAAGGATATATAGTCATTTAAACAACCAAGGGCCATACTCTGGAAGCCAGTGTCCTGGCTGTCTTGCTGGCTTTTTGCACTTGGAATAGAATCCAAAAGCCTTATTTTGGCCCATCATGGGGATGGTGTACCGGAGATATGATTTTAAAGAGTGCTTCCTTTTTCTCTAAAACAATGTCTGGTTTACAGATTATGGGTACATTGAGACTGGTGGATTCCACAAACGTTTGCCAGGAAATGCTTTTGAACCTTGAGCTGTCACTATCCCAGGAAATCATATTTAAAAACTCAATAGCAGCTTAGCACAATAAATAATGTTTGCCTTGAGCTGGTGCCCTTCACAGCATTAGCTACTTGAGACAAAACGACAGCAGTAACCCTAACGCATCGATGAGATTGTTAATGGGCCGAGGCGCTTAGGTGGTGAAATAATACGGACATCATGAAATGACGTGATGTAGCCTCTGTGATGAACTGTACATGCAAAATGTGTTAAATGGGTGCATGTTCGAGTATGTATATTTCCACACACGCACACGATACTCTGATTCAGACAATAAGCTATTGTCGCTTTTTCTAGGGGACCCTCTGGTACCTGTACCCTGCTACTTTTCCCCCCACTCACTAAATTCCCTTCATATCTTGTCTTCTCTTTGTTTCTTTTCCTACTTGGGAGACTTTGCTGATTCTGTTCCTTCTGCTGGGGACACTTCCTCATATTCTTCACCATAGAGGCGGATTACTCAGTAAGCACGGGCCTACTTGTGTCTGTTTACTATTCTGTAGTGAACAGTTTCATGTTTTCCATCACATTACACATGTGAAACTGTTCACTACAGATTGGTAAACCAGCACTAGTAAGGCTGTTCTTACGTGTCTGTTGGGTAACCTGACACTGTTCACCCAGCTTTCTCCTTCTTATCTTTCAAGTCTCAGCTAAGTGTCACCTCAGCGATGTGTTTCCTTCTTTTCTGTCTTGTCTCCCTCCCTGTCTCCTCTACATCATCCCTCCATGACATACACCACAATTTGACATTTAATTGCTTTAGCTACTTGTTTAATGCAGAGCTTTGAAAGGGTTTAAACTGGTTCAATCATGGCTATTGAAGTGAAACAAGAACAGACTCAAATTTTAAAATTTTGATTAATCTAGCATGCTAACTTAAATGGGAAAAATTAGTGACTGAAGCCTTGGAATAGATTTGGAAGAGGGATACTGATTCTCTCGAGGAAGCTGATGTGGGAGATTGAATAGTTGACAGGACTGTGGCAAGTAAACACACACACATTCAAAGCCATGAGGTGTCCTCCCGCCATCTTTGAGCAGGGCACCATTGTTTTCAGTACTGTTGGTAACAAAAGATTTGGTTGCTATGCAATATATACACTGCCTGTGTTTCTTAAATGGGAGTTGACATTTTTAGTAGGGCGTCGACCCATCATTTTTCCCCTTTGGTGAGTGTTCCAGTTTGCCGCCATTCCCGTGACCCTTTGTCACCCATGACTGAACCTACTTGAAGCCTTGGTTTCATGTCCACCTTCCCCCTATAATGTCAGCTCCATGAGGACATGGATCCCATCTAGTTTCCCAGGACCTGTCACCTGTTTCTTGGTACATATTTTGTTGAATTAATGATGCATTCCCTGACCCCTGACAAGGTGAAGTTACCAAGCTAACTGTAGCCAAAGCATGTTGTGCTCATCTTCCTTAGCACTTCTCACAATTAACTGTACTTAAACAATAATCTATGTAATTTTGGTGTGTTGCCAAATTTGTTACTCCAAAATCTTGAGTACAGTGCCTTGCTGGAATGATTGAGTTCAATCAATGATCACTCCAACTGAAACAGAGAAAGTCTTTCTTAGCAGGCCTAGGTTATCAGAACACGGGTAACCTGGCTGTTTCATTATGGGTGTTTGCTTAGTTGTTTTTTTTTTTGCCAGCAATGTTTATACATTATTGTGTGTTTTTAACAATGCTGTTAAGTGCGTGGAGTCAGTTTTGACTCTGCTAAGTCATGTACTAATGCATGGACTACATTCATTATAGCCCAGATGCTGGTGGTCTATAATTCTAGCATTCACACTAAACCACCAGTCAGTCAGTCACAAGACCGCCATAAACATCTTGAAGGCGAGCATGTATAACCATCTTGGTGTCTGTTTGTCCTGATGGTCATTCAATATCAGGGATCAGCGGAACCAGACGGTTATTGAAATAGATATCAGTGCATTCTAAAGGAGCAACTAGAGCACACATATAGGAAACTAACTGGGTGGAGGTGTGGAAGCACTCTTCCGAGTTGTGTGGGTAACATTTACTGCTAGCAAGCCGCTCCACGGGGTGAAAGATGAGGCTCTGTGCTCCTGAGAAGATCTAAAACCTCGGAGACCCTAAACAGGGTCTCTATGAGTCGGAACCAACTCGATGGCACTTAACAACAAGAAGCAAAATACTTAACACTGACAGAATGACTGCACTCATACCCGGTTTCTTTTCTTCCGGATTGTAACTTCTGTGACAACAAAGCAGTTTAGCGCATGGCCCTGTGTATCAGTGCGCATGCGTGCATAATAATGATGCCCACACCCATAGGCCATACGGTACAGTGCGCATGCCTGGTGTCTTAACAGTGCACATTCATTTGCATGATAATGGACAATGGTACCGTGGGCGTGTCTAGTTCATGCATACATGTGCATGGAAAACAATGTGTAGAGCTGTGTGGTTTGTTGCGCATGCGTTTGTGGGCACTGATGCCTGCCACTCTAGAAGCTGTGCAGAGATGCTCTTGGTGGCGGATCCAGCAATGTGGAGAGAATGTGCAGAATCTCACTGTACCTTCCTGCTTCTCTCAGCCTTTCTCCTAGAAGTGTCTTGTGGTGGTGGTGGGGTCCCCAGTTCCGACTCACGGGGTCCCTCTCTAGGACTTCTGAGGCGGTAAATCATTACGCCGCAGAGCAGCTGGTGGGTTCGAAGTGTCTTGACCTCCTTAAATTTGGGGGCATTATGGACCTAGACCTTTGGGGAGACACGTGGCAAGGGTGGCAGCAAAGCCCCTGAGTCTGGGAAGAGTGGGACTGTGTGGAGGAAACGCTTCTAGTCACACCCTGACTGGCTTCTGTGTTGTCTTTCCAAACAACAGACTCGCCTGTACATCTGAGCTCAAGCTCGAATAAGCCACAAGACACAACTTCAACACCCACGAATGCACCAGACGCCGTCCAGGAAAGCCAAGACGCCGGGCACAGTGACCCAAAAGCTACTCCAGACGCCGGGCACGGTGACCCGAAAACTACTCCAGACGCCGGGCACGGTGACCCGAAAACTACTCCAGACGCCGGGCACGGTGACCCG